CTTCCTTCCTAAATAAAGTAACGAGTACAAGAGACTGATAACCCTGACAGCACCTTTTGTTTGCCGCATGTCACAGCCAAGGAAGGAGCTGAGAAAGAGCCCGTCTCACAGTGCATACAGAGCATTGTGTCTGCCTCGTTTCAAGGTGGCGGAGGTGGGACTGTCAGTCTCGGAGAGAAGTATTATCTAGCATCTTCTCAAGAGCGTCCCCAACGGGCTACAAGCATCTGCTGTGGACACAGCCATGCTGAAAGTAGGGGGCAAAGGGTCGGGGACTTTCATAAGGGAAAAGGCAGCAGCTTATACTGAAGTGCTGAACTAATCCCTTCTCAACTGATTTATGCCATCTGACTCCTCTAGCCCACAGGGGCCTTTCCGAGGGCTTTATATGATTACAACTCAACTGGGGAGAGGGAGATGCCATATTTAGTTGCCTAAATTCATCTTTCTTTGAATAGACACGAGCTAAAAGGAACGGCAAAATGTATCCAGGGCAGGCAGTTAATAAACATAAGTGCTCTCTACAGCATTAAAATAAGAACCAAATTAAATTTACAGTGAACACACAGATGTGTCTTTCCTCAAGTGAGGGGCACATATAGAAAATAAATCCATGCACATCACAAGCAGAAATAAATATATGCTTGAACATACTGACATACATGCACCTCCCTGCGCTGGTGAAATTCTGCAGGTGTTAGCAACACAAAAACCACACCCCGTGGGCACAAGTACTTCTTCTTGGAGTGCAAAACACTTGCACAAATAGGGGATTTCTGCTGCCGGTCTGTGCACATCGCATAGTTATTTAAGGCTGTGCATACCTACAGTCCCATACTCCCCTTTGCTTGCCTGTATGTTATAGTTTATCAAACTGCATATCATTACCCTACTATTGCAACAGTTTCTTAAATATACCACTCCCTTGACCAAGCAGGAACTCACAGGTAATCTCCAAGCAATCCATATGCAAACCTTACGCCGCATTTGCTACCGGTAGAAATGATGCACACCCCTATAAATAATAGCTCCCTGCTCCCAGGCTGCACCCCTGTAATGCAGCCTCCTCCAGGGTGGAGGAGAGCAGCCAACCATTATAGTGTCCAGGAGGAGCATAAATCCCTACTCTGAGGACAAGTCCCAGAGGGTCTTTAATGTCCAGGCAGCAGAGACCATGTCTTGAATTTTATCTTACGACTTTCCAGAGTCCAAGCTCCAAAATCGATGTCTCCAGTTCGCATTTCTAAGTTGGCAACAGCAAAATAATAAAAGACCCAGGAGAGGGGCCCAGGGAGATTTATGCTGCCCCCATTTCAATCCCCCAGCTTGGATCAGGTAACCCACTGGGCTGGCAGCAGCAGAAGGGTGTACGTCCTCATGTACCCCTTGCAAAGCCGTGTCAGCCCTGCCTGGAGCATGCACTGGATGCAGCAGGGGATGGGAGAGTCTCCAGGCCTCCTGCCCTACCTGAGTGGATGGAGTCCCAGGCGCAGCGGAGCAGGCTGGGCGAGACAACCTCACCCCTTCTCTCTCCCAGAGCAAGAGGGCATCAGGGAGGGGGCTTTCGTGTCCTGGCTGCTGCCGAGCCACGCGGTACCCCCACACCGTGCTCTGCCCCTGCTCAGCAGAGGTGTGATGCTAACACTGACAACAGCGAGGAGACTCAGCACTTTGCTGAAACCCTCCCCAGCATAGCCAGGTGCAAAAGGCCCAAGCATTAAGCTTTTCCCCACCCCACTATCACCCAGCCATCACAACCAGGGATGCTCAGCTATCACACCCTGCCCCTCCCTGAAGCCCACAGGGTGCATGCCCAAGAGAAGCCTTTTGAATCAGGCCCATGGTGGGTCCTACCCCAGTCCATTTCCAGAAGCTGGGAATTATTATTATTGACTGGGCTGTCTGGAGTGGGAAGAAATCCCCCATCTCCATCTCCCAGCACTATGCTTTCTGCAGAGTGAAGCAGTTCATTTCCTTTGTTCTCCAACCCACTCCCGGAAAATCATCAGGGCCCTCAGTGCCTGTAATGAAGCACACCTGTGCCTTATTAGCCCTGCAGCAGCCTCCTCTTTGGAAGGAGGCTCCTGACGGCCTGTGCCTGTGACAGCTCTGGCCTGCTGCACCTCTGGAAGGAAAGGGAGAGAGGCCTGGACTAATCCCACTTGCCTGAAGCTTGGATCAACTCTATGATGATCAGTAAAGCCCTCTCCATTCCTGTCCAGCTATTGAGCACTTGGTGGTCGACACACACTGCGCCGAAGAAAGCAACCTGGTGCATGCACCCACTGTGCAGCAGGAAGGGAAGCCAGCTGCTCCAATGAGAACAGAAACACCTGTGCCTTTTCCTTCCGAGGCAGAAAATGCACTTGCTACCTCCCTCTTTGTCTTGGGGCACATGGGTTTTTGTTGATCAGGAGCAATGAAAAGACCTTACAGCCAAATGAAAGGACATGGAGCATCCACAAAGCTTGTTAAATGCAGGAGTGCTCTTGTGACAAGCTCCAACCCCAATGAGGCAGAAAAGGGAACCGAGCCGACATGCTCCACATCTGCCCCCTCACTAGGGTGATGCGATGTCCAAGGGAGATAGAGAAAAAAGCCACCTTCCCTTTTCCACAGCAATCTGTAGCAACAGAGCAACTCCCTGCTTGGGCAATGCTGGCATATCAGGGGAAGGGAGATTTGCTTGAGGGTCTGGCCCCCTGGAGCCTCCACGCAATCCGGGAATAGAGAAGAGAAAAATCAGAGCGAGTTTCCTTTTAAGAGGACTTGCGTGCTGTCAAGTAAAACAACAGGAATTCCTCACAATCTCTGCAACCCAGATACATAATAGGAGACTATTCCAAGAACCCTGAAACTCATTTGTTCTGACTATTGCTGGACTACTTGTATAAAACAGCTAACTATGCTTGCCTACATTATTCATCTTCCAGAGAATGACTCACTTTTCCTTTTTAACCCCCCCCCCCCCGCTTTTTTTTTAACTTTGCATTTACCCCCATTACTTATTTATTTGTTTCACCTGAACTTCTTTAAGAGGCTTTTATTTCTCCTCTTCGTTTTTTTTCATTTTTCCTCCTTTCATTTTCATTGTCCTTCTCTTGGCAGCACTGCATCTTTATTCACCTACTAGGATTTTTCCTACCATCCAGCTCTCAGCTAAAGGATTTGAGGCTGATTGTCATGATCAGTTCACCTTTAGCTGCAATCCAGCTTTGTCTTTTGCAGCCGTGCAAGTGATTATTACAATTTTATTTTCTGCTATTGACAAGTTGCAAAAGAAACAAGGTGGTGAACTCAAAGTTTCCACAGCTCACTAGAAGCTTAAAATAGAAAATGCATCTATATAAATCTAGCTGTAAAATCAACATCTTTCGCTCAGCTGGCATGGGACCATTCAACCTTCAGATTGCCCTATATTGCATTCAGACTACGCACTGGTATTTTTTACCCCTATGTCCTTATGTTCCAATGACTAATAATAGCTTTGTGGTGTAATAGAATTGAATGAATGTCATTTATATCAATATGGCCTGGAGTCTTTGTGGTTTATAAAGGTCATTTGCAAAAGCAGAATAGTATCAGGCCCAAAACTGCAGTCCTGATAAACTCTATTAAAAAGGGAGGGGGAGCAAATAAACAGCCAGTCATGCCATATCCCATTATCCATCTATTCAGACAGCAATGGGGAGAAAGTCAGCTGCCTTCAACTGTGATGCACCCTATGCCAGTGGGAACGAACTGCTTTCCAAATTCCTAATTTCTGTATCAAGTCTTTGAATCTGAAAGGAGGGGAGAGGGGAGGACTAGCTGGTGGTGCCACCAGCCATGAAAAAAAAGTTAATCACATCTCTCTCCATTCACTGCAGTCGCACCGCGCCTGATGGGGAGTCCAGAGGAGGTGTCCCTCCCTAGTCTTTTGTCTGGAACGGTTTACTGCTGTAGTGTAGTGACGCACTCGCAAAGGTAGAGCTGCTGTTGTGTCAGCCCTGCCATCGCAAAGCTTGATTTTCATAGCCCGTTAGCCAACGGGGACATAGCCACTTGCAAACCCACTGCCTGACTGCTGGCTGAAACTTAAGACTATGAAAGTTTCTAGCCTGATGCCAAAGCGCTCTCCTATCGACATAGCTCTGAACCTGCTGTGAGCAAGAGAGAAATGTAAGGAGCTCTCACGGCAGAGCACAGCCCAGGCACCTCCTGTGGTTGCACGGGTGGGGGAGAAAAACCCATCAAAGCTGCAAACGTGCCCACTGGGGGGTCTGCACTAACACCCAACCAGGGCTTGTACTGGGGGGGAAACATCTGGGGAGAAAACATTGGGCCGGAGGGGTCAATTCAAGCTGCCTTTAAAAATGGTGGGGGAAGCAAAGCTTGGCCTTGGCTCAGGGGAGTCAGAGGGAAGCAGAGCTGGAGGGGAGCTCCAGAGGAAGGACCATCCCTCTCTTAACCATCCCCTCTTCTCTCCTGCCCTTGAACTCAGGGGAGCTTTGGAGGCAGCATCATCCTCTCCAAACAAGGACCCTTCCCTCCTACCCTTGAGCCCAGGGGAGCTTCAGAGGCAAGATCATCCCTCTCCAAACAAGGACCCTTCCCTCCTACTCTTGAACCCAGGGGCGCTTCGGAGGCAAGATCATCCCTCTCCAAACAAGGACCCTTCCCTCCTGCCCTTGAACTCAGGGGAGCGTTGGAGGCAGCACCATCCCCTCCAAACAAGGACCCTTCCTTCCTGCCCTTGAGCCCAGGGGTGCTTCGGAGGCAAGATCATCCGCTCCGAACAAGGACCCTTCCTCCCCCGCTCCTCCTGAACTTAAGGGAGCTTCGGAGGCAGGACCTCCCCCCTCCAGACAAGGACCCTTCCTTCCCTCCTGCAACTCCGGGGCGCTTCAAGGCAGGACCACTGCTCTATCCACCAAGGACCCTTCCCTCCTGCCCTTGAGCCCGGGGGCGCTGCGGAGGCGGCCGGAGCCAGGCCCCGGGTGCCCCCTCAGCCCCGGTACCTTCTGCTGCCGCCGGGCCATGTCGGTGGGCTGCTTGGCGTTGAAGGGGTAGGCGATGCAGCGCATGACGAAGACGTAGAGCTGCAGGCGCCTCTTCCTCTCCTCCTCCTCCTTCTGCAGCCGCTCCAGCTCCTCCTTCTCCTTCTCGCTCACCAC